AGAGGGACACCCTACAATATACCTAACCAATAATTCTCAAAACTGTCAAGGTCATCAAAAACAAGAAAAGTTTGAGAAGCTGTCACAGCCAAGAGAAGTCTGAGGAGACACGACAACTAAACACAATATGATATCCGGGATGGGATCTGGAAATAGAAAAGGGACATTTAGTAAAAACTAAGGAAATGTGACTACAGAAGGGACATTTAGTAAAAACTAAGGAAATGTGACTACAGTACAGGCGTCAGTTAATACTAACGTATCAATATTGGTCCATTAATTGTGATTCACGTACCATGGTCAGGTAAAAGGTTAGTAACAGAAGAAATGGTTAAGATGTGAGTGAACTCTCCATACTATCTTCTCAATTTTTTCTGTAAATCAAAACTGTTCTAAAAAATAGTCTATTTTAAATTTTAAAAAAATAGAAACTCTAAAAGTGGCAATCTCACAGTATCTTTACCAAGTTTAAGTTGAGCTTGCTAAGTTTCCTGCAATAAGTCAGAGTACAGGGTTTATATTCCTTTTCTTTTGAGAGATGGATTCTCACTCTATCACCCAGGCTGGAGTGCAGTGGCACAATCTCCATTCACTGCAACCTCTGCCTCCTGGATTCAAGTGATTCTCCCATCTCAGCCTCCCAAGTAGCTGGGACTAAAAATGCCCACCACCACATCCAGGTAATTTTGTATTTTCAGTAGAGACGGGGTTTCACCATGTTGGCCAGGCTGGTCTCAAACTCCTGACCTCAAGTGATCTGCCCACCTCGGCCTCCCAAAGTGCTGGGATTTCAGATGTGAACCGCTGTGCCCAACCTATGTTTCTTTCTTATACAAATATTTTGAACCAATCAACAGACCCCCTCAGAAGACACTCATTGACCAGTGGTATAGCCACCACACTCTGAGAACCAACAATGACTTTGGCATAGTACGCTGTACTATTTTCAGACATTCCTCAGCACAATAAAATAGGAAGCAAAAAAATATGGTATTGGTGTGAATCTGAAAATATGTATGGCAAGCTGGGGAGAGAATGTTCTTGGATAAAACACACTGGGTACCAGCCATCAGAACTGTAACAGTCCAAGCAAAAAGATGCATGTATAAAATATTTTCAAAGAGGTCTCACTCCTAAACATATAATCAGATAGAACAGGCAATAACACCTTCCACATCATCTCCTCCTCTGTCATCTTCACACTGCGGATGATCGCAGAGCTCCTCAGTCAAGGATCTACCCAGCCCAGCTAGCTAGTAAGTCTGTTCCCTCAGCTCTTCGGCATGTGATGGTAAATCTGCATTACACTTAGTCTTCTCTTTTTTTCAGAGACGGGGTCCTGCTGTGTTGCCCAGGCTGAAGTGCAGTGGCCAGTCACAGGCTCACCCATAGTGCACTACAGCCTCAAACTCCTGAGCTCAAACGATCCTCCTGCCTTGGCCTTCTAAGTAGCTAGGACTAGCCACTGAACCCAGCTTGACACTGATTCCCCTTATAGAGTGACTTCACTAATGTATACTATATCTTGACTCAAAAGTAAATTCTTAAAGAACAAAAAAAGAAAAAGGGGAAGAGAACTAATATTCACTGTCATGTGTTTTATTTTCCTTTTTTTGAGGGGAGAGGGTCTCATTGTCACACAGGCTGGAATGTGGTGGCGTGATTGTAACTCACTGCAGCCTTGACCCTTGGGCTCAAGTGATCCTCCCACCACAGACTCCCAATAGCTGGGACTATAAGAGTGTGCCAGCATGCCCAGCTAAGTCTTTTATATTTAGTACAGATGAGGTCTCATGACATTGCCCAGGCTGGTATCGAACTCCAGGGCTCAAGCTTCAGCCTCCCAAAGTGCATAAGCCATCACACCTGGCACACTGTTATGTATTTTATATATTAAACACTGTCCAATTTTATATAAATGTGTTAACAAGAAGAAAAAACCACTTAATTCTCCATCTCCCCAATGCAACAGGTATTATTGCACTTATTTTACAGATGACGAATAGAAAGTTCAGACAGGTAAAGTGATGTGGGAAGACTAGAAACTCAGTGACTCGCTGAGTCATGTCTCAGTGACGCCATGAGGTCCACGCTGTGCCTCTCACAACCTGCTGCCTGCCCCTTCAGGCCTTCTATGTGTATACACTCGCCAGCTCCAAGTGCTGAGCAGAAAGACATTCACAGGCTTTTTTGACATGAACCAAGCTGAGTGGCTGATAAGAGGGAGCCCCTTGGCAGGACCTGGTTTTATTTTAAGACCAAAGTCTACCCTGTCTGTGGCTCCTAAGGAAGTAAAAGGAAAATAAAGAGCGTGGTGAACAGTATCATTATCAAAGATGTTCACCTCTGTACTTCACTTTGCACCACTAATCAGAACACCAGGAACTTTCTAACATGCTGTAACCATGAAAAAGAAAATATTTCAGATTGTAAATGATAAGAAATGGTCTTGTATGGTTATAATTTTAAATGGTAATCAAAGAACTGCATTTTATATCCTTTTCTCATGAAGAAGAGAAGGTTTTAATGAGCATCTTACTGTACTGCCTACCACTTACCACATCTTATGAACCATATGCATATCTTACAAATCAGCAATATTTTTCCTTCTTAGATAATCCACACATTCGATGAAAAATGAAAAGTCGTGTTCTCAAGATTTATGTTATTTTCCTTTTAAAATGTTGATAATTGGCCAGGCACGGTGGCTCATGCCTGTAATCCCAGCCCTTTGGGAGGCCAAGATGGGGAGATCACCTGAGGTCAGGAGTTAGAGACCAGCCTGACTAAAATGGAGAAACCCTGTCTCCGCTAAAAATACAAAATTAGCTGGGTGTGGTGGCCCATGTCTGTAATCCCAGCTACTCAGGAGGCTGAGACACGACAATCACTTGAACCCGGGAGGCGGAGGTTGCGCCAAGCCGAAATTGAGCCATTGCACTCCAGCCTGGGCAACAAGAGCAAAACACCGTCTCAAAAAACAAACACACAAAAAATAAAATGTTGATAATTTATATTGGTTGCATAAAACTAAATGAGGTTCTTATTTTGCTTCAAATAATTCAGAAAATAAACCCCAAAATTTATGGTAATATAGTAATTTCAGCCAGAAGTCAATATAAAAAAAAAAATCACTAAATTGTTTTTCATACTTCTTCACTACCTAATCTAAATCTGATATCTTAAGTTTTATTTCCTTGCTAGTATTTAAAGATGATAACCATAACGTTTTAAGAGAATTTTATTGTGGAATATTTTCATGCTATACAAATAAGACAAGAAGGACCAAATAGTTAAGTGTAGATTATGATTAAAGTCCTAGCTTTGGTTCTGGGCTGTCAGTGTGTTAGTATCACTCAGTAGAACCCACCGCAGCCAAGACCCAGAGTGTCTAAATGAGGATCCGTCAGTTTACCACAAATCCCTACCACCCAGGGCCCGTATGTGTCCAGTTTCTCAGAAGAGGCAACCCTGACGCAGACTGTGAAACAACTTAGACCAAGTTTAAACCTAGTTCCTGAGACAAACAGATAACACTTCAAAGTGCTATTAAAGTAGAACCGATTATAAGAAATGAATTGCAAAAAACTGGAACCCTTGGGTACTGCTGATAGGAAGGTTAGATGGTACAGCCACTATGGAAAACAGTGTGATGATTCCTCAAAAATTAAATATACAATTACTATATGATCCAGCAATTCTACTTCTGGGTATAGACCCAAAAAACTTGAAAGCAAGTACTGGAACAGATATTTGCACACCAGTGTTCACAGTGGCACTAATCACAAGAGCCAGAAGGTCAAAAGAACCCAAATGCCCGTCCATGAATGAATGGATAAACATATGTGGAATGTACATATAATATTATTCTGCCTTAAAAACCACACACACAATGACATCCTGACACAGGCTACAACATAAATGATTGAAGATATCATATTAAGTAAGTCAATCAGAAAAAGACAAATACTATAGGATTCCACTTATAAAAGGTGCCTAGAATAGACAAATTCATAGAGATAAAAAAAAAAAAAAGAATGGTGGTTGCCAGGGGCTAGAAGTGGTGGAGAATGGGAAGTTATGTTTAATGGGAACAGTGTTTCGATTTGGGATGGTGAAAAAGTTCTGGAGAAGGATGGAGATGATGGTTGAATAACAATGTATACTTACTGCCACAGAACTGTACACCTACAGATGGCTACAATGGTCCATTTATGTTATGTATATTTTACAACAGAAAATCATAAGTAAAAGTAATTGCTGGCATCATTTGCACTGTCCTGAAGTATACACGTTTTAGAATTTTTTACAAAATGAAAGAATTTAATTGCAACTTTTCCAATTCTTGTAAGAAAAAATATTTTGTAGTTGTATTAGAGATCACAAATTACTTAAATATCTCTTTAGAATCTTAGTGAACTTAGTGATCAATATCTAAAATTATGCAGAAAAAAAGGAATTCTGTAATAGGAATGACTGTACCTGATTAGCTATCATTTTATAATCAAAAGTTCCATATGATCAAATAATAAACATTTCTACTCATCATAAAATACAGAAGTCTACACAATATCAGTGAATACGCACAATCCACTCACTGTTTCCAATATAAAGCCATTGCATTCAACTGACGGCCTGAATGATAAGGGGTGAGGAAAAGAACTACCCCAATTTTTCTGTTTCAAAGGTTTTCTAATTTACTTAATATCCCATTCTCATATAATAGGGCTGTTGAAAGGCTTCTTTTTGGCTTCACTGTTCTCTACTTTAAATTTATAAAGGAGATAAATACTTCAGACATAACCCTGATTACACCATGGCTCTACCTGGTAATATCAGTTGCAAGTTTGTTGGTTTAAGAGTTAGAACAATTTGTAAATAACAGTAAATGTTTCTATTGTGTTTCCAGAATTTATAAAGTCGGCATAGCATGGAAAGCAAAGAGGATTCAAAATCCACTAAAATAGTCACTAACAAATGAAGAAGAAACACTCACAAACCTTCTTGAGAGGACACAATGGGTGGTAGGTAATCAGGAATGTATTCTTTTCTTTCCTCTGCATCTTTACTTCCAGGTTGAGGAAACTGAAGTACATTGTTCTTGCTAACAGGAAACGACGGAATTTGATGTGGGAAAGTGACAGGTTCAATATTGTGAATATAGTCTTCCAGTTCATGCAGACTAACCCCCATAAGTTGGAAAGCTTCACCAACATCATCCAAAATTGGGTCTGTTCGGCCATCTGAAACAAAGTCAAAAGCAAATCAAATTATTTGAAAAAAAATCCCATGAATATATTTTTAAATATTAAGAAAAAGTAGTTAAATAAATATGCAGCTCAGAATCAAGTATTTTGACCTAGTTATTGGAAAGAATTTAATAGATTTTAAATAGAGTATCACAGAATCATGTTTAAGCTGATTATTAAAGTCAAGTTCAAATACAATCAGACAACTAGTCAGAACAGCACAGAAACAATCCAACTCATGATCAACTATTATAGAACAAATATTAAAGTAATTTACAGATTATCAAAAGCATCTGGAATTGTGGCTGGCTAGCACACAGAAAATGCCCCCCAAATAATAATAAAATACTGTGGGTTTTTTTTTTTTTTTTTTTTAAGAGATTGCATCTTGCCTGGACAAGGTGGCTCATGCCTATAATCCCAGCACTTTGAGAGGCCAAGGCAGGCAGATCACAAGGTCAGGAGTTTGAGACCAGCCTGGCCAACATGGTGAAACCCATCTCTACTAACAATACAAAAATTAGCCAGGCATGGCGGCATGTGCCTATAATCCCAGCTACTCAGGGCAGGGGGCGGAGAGCTGAGGCAAGAGAACTGCTTGAACCCAGGAGTTGAAGGTTGCAGCAAGCCAAGATTGCGCCACTACACTCTAGCCTGGGTGACAGACCAAGACTCCATCTTGGGAAAAAAAAAAAAAAAAAAGACGGCATCTTGCTTGTTGCCCAGGCTGGAGTGCTCCCTGCTGCCTCAAACTCCTGGACTCAAGCAATCTTCCCATCTCAGCCTCCTGAGTAGCTGGGACTACAAGCACATGCCACCATGCCTGGCTAATTTTTTTTTTCATTTTGTGGAGATGGGTTCTCACTATGTTGCTCAGGCTATGTTGAACTCCTGGCCTCAAGCAGTCCTCCTTCTTCTGCTTCCCAATGTGGTAGGGTAACAGGTGTAAGCCAATGTGTCTGGCCCCTTTTTTTTTTTTTTAAATCATCAAGTAAATAGTGTGCTGTGCTGACAAAGCCAATGTTCGTTACATTTCCTCTGTTGTTCACTGTGGAACCTTAAACAGTGGTTGGCACGTAACTGGCACTCAATAGCTACTGAATGAATTATACAATTAAATGAATTTTTAAAACCCAAAAATATTTACAAAGAAGATCTAGATCATAAAAGTTTGGTTTTTGCTTGGTGGGTTTTTTTTGAGACAGGGTCTCACTCTGCTGCCCAGGCTGGAGTGCAGCAGGGCGATCATGGCTCACTGCAACCTTGACTTCCCAGGCTCAAGCCATCCTCCCACCTTAGCCTCCCGAGTAGCTAGGACTATCAGTGCATCACCATCATGCCCAGCCATTTATAGGTAAATTTAAATGGCTGGGCATGGTAGTGGTGCACTGGTAGTCCTGGGTACACCCAGGATTTATAGGTAAATTTTTATAGGATTTATAGGTAAATTTACAATTTACCTATAAATTTTCAAATGTAATTAGAACAGAGATCAAGAGATTAAAAGTTAGATATAGTAAGATTTTTCTTTATAAAAGGAAGTTTTTCCTATGCCTACCCTTAGCAGACCTTAAGGTCTCTACATCCTTAAAAATGTCTATGAAAACTCCAGTTTCTGATTTTCAATAGTCTAAAGGATTGAACTGACAACCTGACTTTTTAACTGAAATCCTGAAATTTGATCACTTCAAACTCAGTATGCCTGAAATTAAATCACACTGTAAAATGAAAAAGAATCCAAATATTGCTAGAATTGGACACATGTGTGGTAATGCACACAGAAACGTCTGAAAGGATATTCAGCCAATGGCTAACAGTTCAAGGGGATAGAGGCTGCAGTAGAGGGAAGCCGGTGGTGGAAGCAGGAGACTGACTTCTAACTCCACATACTTCTACAGTCTTTCATTTCTTTCTTGAGAATATTTCTTTCAGAAGAAACAAACACCATCAGTTTGTTTTTACTGACATTCTTTCTACAAGTATGGGTTACTTCTGTGATGTATAAAAGAAGAAAAAATAAAACGAATATTCTTCTTACTGAATGTCAATATGCATTTCAGCTCCTCTATTCCTATTAAAGCTCTTATTACACTCTCAGTCTAAAAAGTATAATCATCTTCGGCTCCTCCGTATGCTTTGCAGCCTCAAACCAAAATCTGGTACTTTTTCTAACCCTATCCCTCTCTTTTTTTTTTGAGACAGAGTTTCACTCTTGTTGCCCAGGCTGAAGTACAATGGCATGACCTCGGCTCACCGAAACCTCTGCCTCTCAGGTTCAAGTGATTCTCTTGCCTCAGCCACACAAATATCTGGGATTACAGGCATGTGCCACAACATCTGGTTAATTTTTGTATTTTTGGTAGAGACGGGGTCTCACCATGTTGGTCAGGCTGGTCTCAAACTCCTGATCTCATGAACTGCCCGCCTCAGCCTCCAAGTGCTGGGATTACAGGTGTGACCCACCATGCCCAGTCCCCCTACTTTTTTTTTTTAACCATGATTTCAGATGTTTTCCTTTCTCTCTATTCTTACTGTCACTGTCTCAGTATAGTCTTAAGTTCTGCCCACTTCAATCTCGTACACATCACTGCCAATAGAATTTTCTTAAAATACCACTTTAATCACACTATGCCCCCTACTTAGAAGTATGCAATGTTTTCTACTACATGTTTTAATTCTTTTGTCTAGCTTTTAAGTCCCTCCATAACCTGATTTCACTCTGTTGAACATTTTTGTCAGGCACCCTTAGAATGAACTGTATATGGAGTTGATCACCTTACTGGTATTTTTATTATGCTTAACGTCACCTGACAGCTTAGTGTATGCTATTCTCTAACCTGGAATACTTGATACCTTTACACAACCATACGTCATAGCTCAACTCAAATCTTATCTTTTCTGTGAAGTAATCCTACCCCAAAATCCATAGCCTACAAGCATCTCTCCTCTTACTCCTCTCTTACATTTACTCCCTGTACCATGCAAAAAATATTACAGCACTAGTGTTGAAGAGTCGGTCTGAAAGGTTTAGCACCTGCTTTCAGTGCATATACACGTGTTTAATACGTAATGTGACACAGACAGAAACATCTGCCCTTGAATGCTTGGAGAAATTGTTACCTTAGGGCAATTCTGAAGTTCATTATTGTTGAATTAATGGTAACTTCTAATACTTGCTTTAACTTGAGAACATTTCTTTTAGAAGAAACAAACCCCATCAGTCTGTTTTTACTGACATTCTGGCACTCTTGAACACACCTTATGGGCAGGGACTGCATCTTAGTAATTCTATGTCTCCAATGCCTAGTGCAGGGGTTGGTTCATAAGTGGTGCTCAGTAAGTGTTTGTTCAAACAACAGAAAGGACTTAAAGGAGTAGAATATAAACTGCATAGTGGTAAACTGGAGCTACAGAATTTGATTTTAGAATAAGGCTGGTATAGAAAAACAAACCTAAAAATATCTAATAAGTATACCAAAATTAGCATAAAAAAAGTCACCAAATCATGATGGGGAATAATGAACTTGACAATCTCATTCTCACTGAAAACAAGAAACTGGCTACAGAAATTAGGTAATTAGGAACAAGGTTCATAATGAAGAGCTGCAATGACCCCTTGATGACTATGGAATACTTAGTCACATGGAGTGCCAGCTCTCTTCTGTATAAAAGGTGAGAAAGGTAACTATGTATTCAGGAGACATTTTGAATGTCTAAAGATACAGAACATCTGTCCTTATGTAGAGAACATGGCAGCAAACATAATCTGAACTATGCCTAGCTTAGCCTATCAGTTAACAGTATACTCAAGGACCATTGCAGAGCAGGCCAGAGGAAAAAGAAAGAAAAGCTAGGAGAGTAGTCACTTGGTGATGTACTTTCAAGATAAAAATGCATGCATATTACTTTGCGGTTCCAAATTTAGACGTATCAGTGAGCTAGGCATGGTGGTTCACGCCTGTAATCCCAGCACTTTGAAACACTGAGGCAGGAGAATAACTTGAGCTGAGGAGTTTGACACCAGCTTGGGCAATATAACCAGACCACATCTCTACAAAAAATAAAAAAATTAGCTGGGCATGGTGGCATGTCCCTGTAGTCCCAGCTACTTGGAAGGCTGAGGCAGGAGGATCACTTGAGCCCTGAAGTTCGAGGCCATAGAGAGCTAAGATCGCACCACTGCACTCCAGGCTGGGGGACAGAGTGAGATCCTGTCTCAAAAGAAGAAGAATAGAAGTCTCAGTGAAATCAAGCACTCAAAACATACACATTTTTGGAACTCAAAATGTGAAGTCAATACGTGGCTATTATGGTACTGGTTTATCAGTTCATTCATTTCTTCAACAAATATTTCTCAGGTAGCTATTATATAATGGCCCCATAGGTTACAGAATACAAATATAATCAATTTTTCTCCTGAGGAGGGGAAAGAGACATATGCAGGTGATTACAAAACAAGATGACAAAAGAAATATGCACAGAATTATGAAAGCAGATAACATGAGTTCCCTAGAGCAAGTGATAAGTACAACTCAAAATAAAAGTAGTACTACTGGTGGGCCAGGGCAAAGGACACTCTAGGTAGAAAACAGCATGCATGTAGAAATGGATAGCCTAAACATTTTGAAAAAGGCAAGCAGCTCAGCATGGCTACAGATTAGCATGGCAGGCTGGCAAAAGATAAGCAAGATGCTAGCTCATGAAGGGAACTGTGTGCTGTTAAGAGTTCAGATTTTTAGCCTGTAACCAATAGAATACAGTTAAAATACTTTTAAGAATAATGACAAAATCATATTTGTGTTATGGATAGATTATTTTGGCAGCCCTGTGGAAGCGGGAACGAGACTCGGGGCCTAAGCAATACAACGTGTCTGTGGGTCTCAATTTTTCAGTCTAGGAACCACTTTAACAAAACAAAGTATCCTATGAAACACTTCATTCAGTTCTCCAGCTTATCACCTTAATCATCATGACCTGAAACGTCAATGAGTGGTAGTTTCCTCTCCTCAACAAACACACATGCCATGCTTCACATCAACATGATAATGTGTAGCTGCTATTAAAATACCATTCCTTCCATTAAATTATTAAATACCACTAGTTATAGATATTACCAGACATTCACTTAAAACCCGTAAGCACTGTAGCCCAGATTACCTGGAGAATCTTGTCAACTGCCCACGGTCCCTCTATCCCACTTTGATAACCACTGACATCTCACTGGTAACTGAGACGTAAGTGAAAGTGCATCTGATCAGCGAAACTGACAAAGTCAGCCTTGGGAAAACAGAAAGTGGAGATGCTGTTCACGAAACGAACAGATACAGAAAGAAGAGGCAGTGTCCCTAACGGAGCAGAGCTGTCAACGAGTCTGTGTAGCTAGGAGCTCAGGAATGGCCAGTCTTGTAAGAAACGGCCGGTAGACGGAGCGCCTGTGACAACTAGTTGTAGTAGTTTTCGGGCAAGGGAGAAAAAGGACCGAGGTAAAAGAGGGTGTAAGGCACGCTGGGGGTGGATCTGCCCGCAGCAAACAGGAGACAATGAGAGAGATCCAGGCACATTTCGGAGCGGAGGAGCTGCAGGAGGGTGTGGAGCTGCGAGCGAAGACTCGGCTCCCGGGCTGGTGGCGGGAAGTTAGCGGATGAAGAAGAGGCACCCGAGGGATGACTAGAGTTTGCAGGGTCAGTGGAAGCCCAGGGACGTGGGAGGCCGAGGAGACAGCAGATCTCGAGGCAGGCTGCGGGACGCACACCCCGGGGACGCGGAGGGGAAGGGAGAGCGGAGGTGTCACCCTTGACTTGCCGGGGCAGCCCTCCCGCACCCAGCCCGGTACTCACAGAGCTCAGAGTACCGATGGCAGCCCCGGCCCAGCTGCTGCAGATAGCGCTGCAGCACGTCCGTGAGGAGGTGGCAGGCGCTGAGCTGCACCGAGTCCCAGCCCAGCGCCTGGCAGATCTGCGCCACCGAGACCCTCAACAACGACCTGGAGTAACTCTCGCACATCCCGCTGCGTGGACGCCACCGCAGCCCTTGCTGCCACTGCTCTCCAGCCCCGCCGCCAGACCTTAGCAGGGCCCCCGATTCATCCTCTAGGGCTTCCGCGGCGGGATAATGGTCCCACGGACCCCCGGCGACCACCTCAAAGCCCCAGCAGCACGGAGCGCGCCAGCCTGAGAGCCGCCATTTTGGACTCGCTCCGCCTCCCGCTGGACGGCCGCCGGAGCGAGGCAGCACGAGCCGAATGCCGAGCGCACCGATGAGAAAGCTCCGCCCCGTGGGAGCGGAGCGACGCCTCGGGATCGCCTCTGAGGCCTGGAAGCCGGCCGGAAGCGGGATTGCGGCGCGCAGGTGGAGGAGGCGCCGGGGGTGGCAGGTGCTGGGGCGCTTCCCAGGGGCGCTCACCTGGACGGAGAGCGGGGACAAAAATGCCCGTGTTTTAGGGGCAAACGAGGGATCTGGGATACGACATTGACATGTTAGAGAGTTAGCATTAATAACGTTAGTCATGTTAGAGGGTTAAGTGCTAGAGAGAAGTTTGGGGCGTGGGAATTTGAGATGCTCGCCAAACGCAGACCTGCGCTGGTCTTACTTCTGCTAAAAATCTATGTATTGAGCTGCTTGCCACTGCACAGATTAAATAAAGCCCAAGCTGTTCCGCATGTCCTTTAAAGCCCTTCGCAATAGGGCGGGGAACAGGAGGAGGCCTCTGTGCCAAATTAATGGGGCCCCCCAAAAATTCAGTCATCAAGATCGATAATATTTTAATAGTTTTTTAAAAATCCAAACCCATGCCATAAACTCCTGCCTCACTCATGTCATTCTAATCCCAGCCCTGGTTGAGATAAAACTTTTTTTTTTTTTCAAACCAGGTGAGCTCCCTGTGGGCTGTACTGTGCGATTTGCGCATCGCGGCTGTGGCCTGTAGGGGGATGGGGACCTCGGCTGCCTGCAGAGGTCAAACCAGAGCCTCAAACCCGTGTCGCAGGGTGAGTGTCCTGGGAACGGTTGCCTATCCCAGAGCCTTCTCCCAGCTCCAGCCAAATATTGCCAGAAATTGGGATTTGGGGATAAATACCTTGACTTTTAAATTCAGAATTGGGAACACATCTCAAAAACCAAACTGATCCCACAGCAAGTCTAGATTCAGCCTTCCAGTAGCTCGATTGTAGTGGCTGAACTATGCGGTTTCTTAAATACGCCTTTCTGTACCTATCACAGTGTATTTAGTATAAGAGTTTGTGTGCTCCTGCAATAAATTGTGAGTTTATGAGTGGCTCTGTATTCCTCCTACAGGGACTATTCCAGAACTTTGAACATGATATTCAAATTTTTGAGTCTGGGAAACGCAACAGAAGTGAAATTATGGTTCTTCAGTTAAATGGCGATCTGCAGAGAAGCAAGGTACTATATGGCAAGGTGCCTGTATTTAGTCCATGGACATCTGTCCCCAAGTTATCAGCAACATTTTGTTGCTAAATCTGTGAGACACTTTTCAGACCTAGCCTTATTATTTTGTAGCCATTTGATAATGTTGAACACTACCATAACTTTGAAACTCTTTTGCGCCTTGGATTTCACAAATCTGTCTCTCTGCCGCCACCGCCCTGGGTGTTTGCTCCTCTTCATTTGCCTTTCTGTGTATAGGGGAGGGGATTTTATTTCTGAAAATTTCAAACCTACAGAAAAGTTGAAACAAAATCATAGACTCAGGTATACACTTCATCTAGATTCACCAATTGTTAACATTTTGCCACATTTACTATATCTTGTGTATTTATATATGCACCCAAGTTTTTTTCCAGCAGTTTGAAAGTAAGCTGCAAACTTCATAACATTTAACCTCACCACACCTCAACATGGGTCACCCCAAAACAAGAACATTCCCCCGCATAGCGACACACATGATCATATGTCACAGGCTTTGTTCCCAGGAAGTCAGCTCTGAGATTGAGATAAGCCTGCAGAAAGTTCATTGAGGAGTCCTCCTGGGACTTGGGGGAAGGAGTGAAAGCCAGGTGCAGTGAATGCTGGGCAAGGAAAGCCTCAGCCAAGCCAATCTCACAGGGCGCTCAAGCTGGAGCGGACCTTCAGAGCTTCCCTGAATCCAAACAAGAAGGCTGGACCTTTCTATTCACATAGGAACAGGCCACTGCATGAGGGCTGCCTGGGAAAGTAGGCAAAGGAACTGCCTGCAGCTGAGTCCATTCAAGTCCAAGGACAGCTGAAGTCCTTCAGTCCTGAGGGGCTCTGAGCAGTGCATTTAGCATTCATCACAGTTCATCCCTTTTACCCTCAGAGACACTTGTTGGTTTGAGGAACAGCTCCTCCAGGATTCTGGAGGGGGCCCTTTCCCTGGGGAAGACATTAAAGAGGAAGGTCAGGAGACAAATTACAGCCCCGACTGCTGCAGCCGGGCCTCAGCTGTTGCTAGGTATTCTCCTCCTCAATTCTACATTTCTCTCACTTCTGGTCTCAATAGCTTACCTGGTGGCACAATGCAGACCCCCATGTGCTGGCCTAAGCCCCTGCTTTCCAAGCCCTTTTCAGACGGTGGCTGCTGAACATGTCCTTGTGCCATCAGAACTGGGAAAAATAATACCCCAAATTGGGCAAGAGGTACCCACAGGCCTCTTAAAGATGACTTCTCTCTCAGCTGCAGTCTGGGTGGAAGTGCCCAGGCAGCAACTGAAGCTACTATTTCAGTGGGACTCCTGCTCTGTTCTCTGGTGAAAGCATTTGCCTTTTTGGAAATAGGATCTATAAACCTGGAGAACCCTGAGTGGCAGGGACCGGAAGAACAATTTCCCAGGAGGGTCCCTGGAAGTGATGTAAGTGGTGAAACTCCCGTCTCCACCCCATGTCATCCACCTATTGGGAACCCAGCATCCCCAAAGAGTCACTGACTTGATGGGGTGGAGTGGCTCATGCCTGTAATCCCAACACTTTGGGAGGCCAAGGCAGGTAGATGGCTTGAGGCCAGGAGTTCAAGACAAGCCTTAGCAGCATAGTGAAACCCTTATCTCTACAAAATACATATATATTTCAAGACCAAAAAAATATATATATATAAATATTTTAAAATATATATATTTATATATATATATTTTTGGTCTTGAAATATATATGCATTTTGTATGTTATATACAAATATATCTTGAAAATATATATATATTTATATATATAATGTTTTGTAGAGATAAGTTTTGTTTGTTTTTTTGAGACAGTCTTGCTCTGTCGCCCAGGCTGGAGTGCAGTGGCCCATTCCCGGCTCACTGCAATCTCCATCTCCCAGGTTCAAGCGATTCTTCTGCCTTACCTTCCTGAATAGCTTGGGATTACAGGCAGGCACCACCATGCACAGCTAATTTTTTTGTGTTTTCAATGGAGACAGGGTTTCACCATGTTGGCCAAAGATAGGCTCAATCTCTTGACCTCATGATCCGCCTGCCTCGGCTTCCCAAAGTGCTGGGATTACAGGTGCCAGCCACCACACCTGACCAATGTGTGTGTGTGTATATATATATATATATATATATATAT